GTGAAACAACAGTCAAACAAACTGCAACAGTCTGAATATTATTTTAAAAGTTTGCTTTTGTTTAAAATGTCTAATCAAACCACCACATATCCACCACAACACAATATATTAAAACTATCAACATAGAGCTAAATTCAGTTCAGTCCACTACACTGATTACAGTTTAGAAATAATTTCATGCCATCTTTCACAATTCCCCTTTAATAAAAGTACAATAAAGCCACAATTTAGGAGAGCCGTTCACAAAGCCCTGAACTCAGTCACAGAAAATATCTGTGGCCAGAGATGAACAGGTATGTGTGACCAGGGAGGCCTGCAAACCTGGCCCAGTTCTACTGGTTCTGTCAGAAGAAACCTAAAATGTTTCATCTAAGCTTTACAGTTTGAAAATATCATAAATATTGAGATAGATGTAAACTTCTGAATTTAATAAAGTTATAAAAAATCTCCTCCTCAATATCCTCATATTTTGCAAGTAAAAATGACCTTGGTAATTCTGAGTTACAACAGGAACAAGTACAGTGTGGTTTAATGTCAGGTGGTTACTTAAATATCAAGTTTCAATAGTAAGAAGATTGAGTTCAGGATAAGTTTGTGCCCCGAGTTGCAGCAGTGTCCAATTAAAAGTTACGCTTAGAATGAATGTTACCACAAAATTTCCTTGATCTATTTTCATGACAAATACCAGATGATGATCATATTGGCTTATGCACTCATATTTATAAGTTCACAATGAGAAGAACCAGAAGATGCAGAGCTATGGATCCAATAATTTCTTGGCAAATATCTTTCCATCATCCCTTTTCAATGGCTGACGCTTTTTGTCTCTTAGCTTCTTCTGCAAACATGATCGATAACAAATATCTGTATGCAATCAGCTGTAATAATATTACATTTATTTCTTTCATTTATATCATTTAACTGGATGACAATCCCATTGAATTTGATTTGTCAATTTATCATCAGGAACTAATCAATTTATATTGAAGCATTTAGCTTTTCTCCCCGACAGAAAGTGAAAGAGAGGCAGCTGCAGAGACTTCCTGACAGATGGGAGGAGGAAGAGCTGCCTTTGCTGCTGCAGGTTCCCAGAGTGAGAACCGTGGATTTTAAAATCTACTGGACGCCGCTGTCTGCTGCATTGTAGTCCACCATCAACATTCAACCCATTCTTACATTTATTGAACATAAAATCTTTCTTGTCAGACATTTAGTTAATCAGGCACGTGCAGAGTGGGGAGCTGGGAGTGCTTGAGCACCTGCCCCTTTTGCTCCTTGCCCCCAAGTGCCCTTTTGGTCAATTTTTTATTTTATTTATTTTTTTGGTATTATTATTTCCTAAGCCCTCTTCTGACACATAAAAACATGTACTAAAATTATTTGCTTTTTTGTTTTTGTTTTTTTTGTACAACATAATAAGCCCTCCGGTCACCTTGTTACCTTTGACCTTTTGCCCGTGACGCATGACGCAGTTGCCTCTCGCGCAGTGAGATAAGGCGGCTAATTGGAGCTGAACGTAGCGAACGTTCCAGATTACAGAACAGTTTTTGGTGAATTAAAAATAAACGTTTTTGGTTAATAAAGTGGAGTAGACTTGCTGCTTGTCAGATGANGAGCTATAATGACGGGTCAATCCTAAATAAAAACCTGTAAAAGGTGCAAAGGACAGAGACTGGGCCCAACAACAAATGGAACGGCTGAGAATGAAGCATGTCTACAGCGTGTGCTTAGTCAAAGTCCTGACCTGAATACAGTTAAAAAAATCTGTGGCAGGACTTCAAAATCTCTACTCGAAATGACTGAAGTTTAAGCTAGTTTGGAAAGACTAGTAGAAAAATACCTGCATAAATCTGCAAGTGTACATCCCACTTTAGTGAAGGTAGTTCACTAAATACTGCATGTTTTCCAGGAACTAACTGAACTTCACTTGTTATAAAAATGCTGTATCAAATATGACTTGGAAGAAATTTTACTTCCTAATTGAACTCTTTGAATTTGGGGCTCTGTCTCTTTAAGAAGCTCCTGCTCTTCTCTGAAACTCCGCCTTCAGGAAGTCGTCATAACATGGCTCCTCTATTAACCCTTTAACAAAAACATTATAACATCATTTACAGCTCAAAAAAGTCGATTTCACATAATAAAAAGTATCGACTCAAGTTGGCTGAATACATTAGAATCAATACTTTTTAAAATCTATTTTCAAAGCATTTGTTCTTCCTCTTTATGTTTTAAAAGGATTTAAGAAATGTTAGTGTTAGAAGAGTTTCAGCTCAGTTTTGGGATGATTTTAATAAAATCAAAATCAGCTAGTTTTAATCCACGTCAACTCAAACTCAGGTCCTTCTTGAGCTCCAGATCTTTAAAAAGCTCTGTATTCACTAATGCTAACCTACTACAGGAACTAATCCTGACCCAACATTAACAGAAACGTTTTATATTTCACACCTGGGGCAGGTTTTTATACTTCTCCTTACGGTTTCCTGTGTGTATGTTTGCATCTCTGAAGCGCTCTTTCTTTCGGCCCGTCGGGGGTTTGCTACCGGTGATGTCACTGCCTTCAATGATAATGCTAATGCGGCTAAAGGACGCAGCGGCAGAAGGAGAAATGATTTTGAAAAAACAAGAGCTTCCTCTGAGACAAAGTGACTGCTGCTATCTGTAACGTGACCAACAAGGAGTGCAGCAGGACTGAACCCCGCGCGCTCTGGCTTCCCCTCTCTCCGGCTCCGACTCGGTCTCCTTGGCTATGAAAGAAGGTCTTATTGAAGCTATGTCAGCTGTCTCAAGGGCATCCAGAACAAAGATGCTTTTCACCCCTCTGCATATCCTCATCTCAACGCTCACATCCTCACCTCTCTCTCTCTCTCTTGTCTCTCCTTCTCTGCCTGTTTATTCGAATTCCCACATCAGGCGCGCGTCTCGTCTGGCTTTTCTTTTTTATTTTCTTTCTTTTACTTCCTCTTTTTTCCCCCCCTCCTCGCTTTGGCCTTTTTGCTCTAGCTTTACGCGTCGGCCGCCGCAGAATAGCAAAAAAGCGAATCCTTCTGCGAGTTTTGAGCGCTTTAGACCAAAGGTGAGGGTGTATTTGTGATCAGCTTTGCCTCTGGTATGTGGAAGTGTGTGTGTATCTGAGAGTGCATGGCAGAGGGTGGGAGGCAGGAGGAGCGGGATGTAGGAAGGCAGCAGCAGCTGGTGGAGATACACAGTGTCAGGGAAGCTCGGGGAGACACACACACATACACAGAGAGAGAGAGAGAGAGAGAGAGAGAGAGAGAGGACAACAGAGGATGCCTCCTTGGCCGGCTGCGTGGAAGGGGGACAGTGGAGCATAACAAACAGGATCCACCTTTCTGCTTGGCTAATTTTCCCCATTAAAACAACCCAGCAGGAGCCTCAGCAGTCCACCAGCTGGAACAGAGGTTATTTTAGAGCCTGTCTTTCACCAGGGTGTGTGTGTGTGTGTGTGTGTGTGTCACTTGCGTCTATTTTGCCGTTTGAATCTGGAGTTAAGGGAAGCATAAAGATCCTCCACAGGAACGGTTTCAATACACTGATATTAATTTCCTTCTCTCCGGTGATGCATAAAGAAATAAAACCTCCACAGTTCCTCTCTGCGCCTGTGTGTGTGTGTGTGTGTGTGTGTGTTTTATCCTGCTAGGCGTCTCCATAATGTGTTCACCACTGATATTGATGTATGTGCCCACATTTGCCCAGTCATCTCTTTATGTGGCTAAAGTCATCAGCCCTCCTCTCATACATCTCAGTCAGATCCTAAACTAATCCCCAACCCTGCTACTCTGACAAGAAAATCCCCGATTTTAATGCATGCACACACGTCTCTCTCTCCGCCGCCGGCCACACACACACACATATCCTCAACTCACACACACACACACACACACACGCACACACACACACACACACACACACTCCTTGCTTGTCTGTGTTACCTGCTTCCTCCATATTCTCTTTACCTTTCGGTAGAGCATGCCTTGCATACGTATCACAGTTTGCGATGCCAAGAGCCTCCTCTGTGTTTGTGTTGTTTCTGGAAATCTATCCTGTTCTAATATTTTCTTTCTCCTTTGTTAATACAAGAGTTTGGCAGCACACAGTTTTTTTTTTTTTTTTTTTTTTTGGTAAAGGCTGGAAGAAGACACAAGTCAAATCTGCTGCAGATTCTATCAGAGAGGAGGAGATGTCCATGATTTAAGGACAAAATATTCAATAAAAACATTCCTTTCCACTTCCCCGATCTGAAACCATTTGTGGTATTGACTGGAGTTTCTAACAAATCTCACTTATTCTGTGGTTAATCATGCTCGCTTGTTATACGTCAGAGATGAATCGCCTGTTTTCGTGGTTGCGAGTCAAAATATCTGTGTTACCAAAAAAAAGAACAACATGTGTTAAACCTGGCTGTATTTTGGGATTAATAACTGGGAAATGAAGGTTTTATGAATGTTATTTTACATAAATATACAACAGAATAAAACAATTGATAGAGTCCAGCAGGTGCTAGCTGCTTAGCAGCTAATGCTAATGTAGCAGGACAACAAAGCCCAATGATTGAGAACACCTGTTGCATCTAATTAACTGCCAGCAGGGGTAAAGTGAGAATAAAGAGAGGCTCTTTTTTCCATGTTTTCTGAAAACCTTCGAAATAGTTCAAGTACAGAAATCCTGACAAACCGATTCTCCTGTTGCTGCTGGGCGAGAAGGAGAGCTCTCCAGTTTAGATGGAGTAATTTGGGGTTGTCTCAGCTCCAGAGACATTATGCATGAAAAGTAGGTAAAATTTGCCCGGTCCTTCCTCCGCAGTTTACTATTCGCCACTCGCCTGAGGTATTAAATTTCATTTCTCCTCAGGGTCTGACAGCAAAGCTGCTGTAGCTCCGGTGTAAATCCGGCTGCTTTATTTCTCCAGGTTTGGTGCGTTTGTTCGCAATTTGCTTCCATTTTGGTTTTATTTGCTGTGGATTTGTTTTGTGTAACCCTACCTTCCCATTCCTGCGTTCAGGCTCAGAGCTGACTGTGCTGGACGGCCGTCAGGGGGACTAGAAATAAGCATAACATTGTAAAACCACGTCTCTCTCATTGGTTTACAATCTAGCTTCCTGATGCTGCACACATTTCATTGGGTGCATTTAAAGAGCATAGCAGCAAATACACCATCTCTTTTGTTGCTACACTAAGTAAGCTAACACTTAGCTAGCTGGCACTGGAGACTTTAGGCCAGCGCTGGTTTTCAGAAAAGTGTTAACAGATTTAGATTCACATTTATTTGTGTCCCAAATGGGGAACTGATGTTACAGCAAGTATAAAACCTAAAAGACAAAGTGTCAAAGTTAAAAAACAAAAAACACAGCAGATGAACTAAGACTTCTCCCTACAGTGCTTTAATCATATTTAATGTGCTGTGGACTGACTTTATATTTAAGCTAGCTAAAACAACTTGTCACAATAACAGTCTGAAGGGTGTCTTGTCTCTTCAAGCAGCTCCAAAGACATTATGCATGAGAAGTTTGGCTTCATTTCTATTTTTCTCTTAAAAATGCAACCAATAGGCATCTAACCCCTAGTTAAATGTAACCACTAGTTACATGCCTATTAACAAATAGTTAATAGGTTTTTGCTCTAATCCCTCTGATTGGCTGCACTGTTTTTTGCTATTGTGGTTTGGCAGTCGAAGGTTTTCTGAACACTTAAAAAATACATATGATTTAACTGAAGCTTTTTATCAAATGGTTAATCAACAAACTCAATTGGTTTGACACATGGACAGATTATTTAAAGAGCACATGCTTCAAATTCCATAAAAAATTGTAGATTTTTATCTAACTTTTCACTTGGAAGAGATTGTTTCATTAAATGTAATATCTGCAGCTGCTTTTAACTAAAACATAAGATTTTAAGATTGTTAGATTTTACAAGAGCTGTGAGTTGATGAAAGGACCCGTAACGAGTCCACTAAAAGAAAATATTCAAATCCTGTCAACTTTTTGTGGCAATATTTAAATGCTTGAAACTCAGATTTTTTAAATTTTAACAAACGTCAGTGTTATTTCAGGGAAGAAGCTCTAACTCTGGTCATTTCTAATCCATGTAATATACACAACCTTTGATCTTTACCATTTGACTCCAATTTTTTAAACATTTTGCAGATATTTTATAGATCTGTTTGGTGTTTCCTGAATGTGGTGCAGATGGTAATTAGACGGTTTATTTTAACTCATGATAAAAAATGAGTCTCTCTTTTTTTGGAAAGCCTAGGTTTGTTTTGTTGGAAATTGTCAATGCATTAAAATGTTTGCTGCATTCCAAACATATATATATAATTAGTTTCATTGTGCTGTCAATTTTCCCAATATTACATCCTTAAATTATATTAGGGACATAGCTACTGTATATTTCATTGAGAAAAAAAAAACAGCCTGAAGTCAAGATTTCATTTTTCCTCCTTTTTTTCAGCAGGCATCTTGCAGATTTTATTTATTTATTTTAAACAGCTACGAGGCATTTTCTGGGTTCCAGATGGATTACTTTCACAGCCTGATAAAAAACTAGCAGTGGGAACATTGTAGTCTGCCAACAGATAACATTCAAGTAACATCCAGCAGAAACGTAGGAAACACTTTCAACAAATCGGCTCCATTTGAAAGGCTTGGAGAGACTTACGCCGCCCAGATCTCCCTCTGTCCTCCAGCTCTGGCAGAGGCGATTTGAATAAAAGAAAAAATAATAATCTACATAGGTCATGACCCTCCAGTCTGATGGGCTGCAGACGGAGCCCCACATCCAGCTCTGAGCCAATGGGAAGGACATCAGAAGACGTCAAGCAAACGTCCTTCCTTTAACATATCCTTTACTAAAAGCCTAGAGATCCGAGATAAGCTTGCAGTTTTACTGAGATGTTCATCAAATATTCGTGTAAACAATGAACAAACACGGCTAGCTTTATTTAAATCAGAAAGACCCGATCACCTGATCCCGAGATTACCTGTCAGCATGATAAATTATTGGCTGAAAATTAATGGTTATCTCTGTGGAATCACCAGATGGCCTCTAAAGCGCAAAACGGCACAACAGCAACACATTACCTTTAATCTATTAAAAGAAAAGAAAACAAGAGAAAAGCTGTCAAAAACTCAAAAACCTCGAGCGTCTGCAGCAGGCTATGTGTAATATTTCTAATTTGGTGGTGTGGAACTTTATTTAGAGGAATCAGAGTAAAGAGGGACAGATTTATTGGTCCATAAAATGTTGCTTTGTTTTCCTTCTGCTCCTCTACGCACTCGTAGTTGTGACTTGACGTAAAAATAAGAATGAAATATTACCAAGAGGTTCATTTATTTCAAGTGAATCAGCTGACAGAAGCGTCCTGTCCTGGTCTGACGCTGACAAACTAAAGCATTTCTTCCTTTAAGGCTCGACAACTGTAATCCTTTACCATCAGGAAATGTTGTATCAACCCACCAGAACCTCTCAGGTCTTCTGGTTCTGGTTCTGCTCTGCATCCCCAGAACCAGAACCAAATGAGGAGAAGCAGCATTCAGCTTCTATGCGCCACAAATCTGTAAGAAACTTCCAGAAAACTGCAAAACAGATGAAACACTGACTTCCTTTAAATCTCGACTAAAATCCACCAGTTCAGAGTTGTATTTGAAATGTAATCAATTACGAATTTAGTGATGGCTCTTGACTTAATGTTTTGATTGTTGATTCTATGTTGCATGACTTTGTGTTTTTGTTTGTTATGATGTAAAGCACTTTGAAATGCCTTGCTGCTGAAATGTGCTATGCAAATAAAATTTGATTGATTGATACCAGGAAATCCACATAATGTAGTTAAAACCGACTGTCGCTACGCGTTCGTCCAGGAAGAGGGAAACGTCGCAAGTCAGTGACTCCGTGTTTTCTTAGAAACATTTTAAACTAACTTGAACAATAAACAGTTTAATGCACTGCTTTTTTTTTTGTAAAATACTGAGACATTTGTTGTGAACTGGCCTCATAAACTGAACTAATTCTAATCATATATATTATCTACACACAGATTGATGATTTCAAGCCTTTCTTTCAGTTCAATATGCAGATTTTCTGCTTCAAGTGAAGGAAAACATAATTTAAAGATTATTGGAATTGAACAGAACTGATCACCTGCTAAAGCCTTGTTGTTTTCTAAACGCTGATTTATTAAATGTGACTACATCAATGGTTTACATGTGATGTTTATGTTGGAAATCTCTGATCTAGGACTCAACTATTTTCTGTGAAGACTTAAGCTTTTTTTTCCATTTAATATTAGTATTTTTCATGTAGATAAGTCAAGTATTTTCCTTTTTTTAATGACAGGAGGATTTTCAAAGATTGTAGTTTGATCACATGCAGACAACAGCCTGTTTGTGAAGTTAAAATCTACATTTAATTTAAACAGGTTTTTTGCGTCGTTTTGCTAAATTAACGTCTCCTTAGATTTTAAATGAAATGTCTCCACTCAGGCAGGAAGAGAACGGTTTGTGCAAGACGCATTCCTCGTGTCAAAGTTTCATCTAACGTCACCAGGAAAGAGATTTAGTATTTATTTCTTCTGCCATCTGCCAGATATTTAAGTACCAGCAGCCATATTTGTGTCGTTATTGTGAATGTGTAATGCAGATTCTTGTATCCCCCGGTCTTATTTCCCAACAGGGCAAAAATGAGGATTTGATCTTTATTTTATCCGTCCAGGCGCTGAAATAAAAGCAGGAACTCTTGCTCCAGGGTATAAAACCACGTCTCAAAACTCAATTTGAGGAATCTTACAGGAACTTATCCACGTTTCTGCATTTCATCTGCTTCCTGCTGCGAACGTGACGAAGAATAAAACATGGAAAGATGCTACTGGTAAGTTTAATGCTCATTTACCGTCTTTCTGGTAGCGATAAACATTCTACTTGTATAACAATGTTTCATTTAAAACAAAATACTTCTTATTTTTACACTACTTGTTGCTTAAACTTGAGTTGAAAGCTAAAGTGTAAAAATGACCAGAGTTTTCTCCAGTTGAATGGAGCATAAAATAGAGTCACCCCCACCTGTTGCTGTTACTGCTTGTCAGCTGGCTGAAAGAGGAATGTTACTTTTCCACTGGATGAAAAGACACATTTGGTTGTTTGAAAATGCTTCCAGTCATTAGAAACACTCCATGATAGTAACCATGCCTCTAGTTCAGGAAATGATACCTGAAACTACAGCAAGTTAGCAGCAGGCTGAAAACCTGACTCTCTTTTTGCACTTATGTAACTCCATAAAGAGCAGAAAAGTAAATATATTATGCAGAATAGGCCATACTTTAATGTTACTAGAAGACTGTTTCACTTTTTTTTCTGTGTTAATTTCGTAGATTTCCATGTCATAAAATGTTTGACATTTTTAAAAGGTATAGTTTTTATTTTCACAAACAAAAATCTCTGTAGTGAACTGTGAGTTTTGAATTGAACCTAAATTATATTTAGGTTTAGCCTCTTCGATTCAGACTCAGACCGACTGCTGAGTCTCACTTGAAAACAACCACAGACACTCAAATGTCAGCCACAAAAACTAAATTATGTCTTCAAGATTTTTACAAATACCTGCATTTTTATATGTAACGCTATTGATTACTTGGTTTTTACACTGTTTCCTTTTAATTTCTGAATTTTATTGCATAATAACCCTGATAATAAAGCTACTCTATCACTCAAACTTTACTTGTAGAGCAGTTTTCATATGTCCAAGTGTAGCAGGAAAAGAAAAAGCTTTAGAGGTGAGAATGGAGAAACATAATAAAGTAATTAGACATATAAAACAAATAATGTCATTAAAACTGTGAAGAATTGAATTGAAAGCTGTGACAATTAGTAATGGATATTAAATACTACAAATATGACTGTTTATGTCTAAGAAAATAAATCTAGTAAAACAATAAAGCAGTCTAGAACAATACATGCAAAACTTAAATAGTAAGTTACAATATTATCAAAAGTACATGTCAGCAATTACAATTACTAGTAACAACTTTCACATCAATAAAATG